AAGAAATATGGGAAATGGGGTACAGAAATCCATTCTGCCCTACAGGAAAATTGAAGGGGAAGGGGTTAAGAGAAGAGGGGAAGAGATAGAAGGGAAGGGGTATTTAGAATGCATGCCATCTTGGGGTGGGGGGAGGGGTGAGATGGGGTGAAAATTTGGAACTCAAAATCTTATGGAAGTAAATGTTGAAAACAAAAAAATAAATTAAAATTACCATTAAAAAATTATTGTTTTTCACAATTGGAATGGGCTAGAAACTGAATTCCAAATAGTTTACACTCTATCCTAAGTGTTTATTTAAAGCTCACATATTACTGAGCATTAGCTGAATTTTTAAGAAAGTTCCATCTTTTTCAATTCTCCAAAATCCCTCCAGATGGCATTAAAAGGCTTCTCCTTCTAGCTTTTGTTGCAATGCCATTTTAAAAAGATGGCCATTATTTGAACCATTTTAGACCAAAGTACACTATTAAGCACTCACAGACATCATAGGATCAGAAACCAGGGCAACATTATCATTTAGGTTTAAAATATGCATATGTATATTTATACATATAAATGATGAAGATATATGAATGTATATACTATATATATGCAAAACAATTTAATAAATTAAACTCTGTCTTTCATGAAATCTATACACATCTAGAAAAGCCATTTCTTAGTTTATGCTAAAGGATATTTTTCTGGAATTTCAGAAACCCCTCAGTAAATGCTTTCTCTTGACTGGACTTCTTTTTGTGTGTGATGACTTGTGGACATGAACCAAACTGATTTCTTGTCATGGTCACATAAAACAGCTCTTTAAATTTAAAACAATATGAGGCATAGGTCATATATTATGGGCATTACAATCTCAAACCCACAAATCTTCCCTATTAGGAGGAAACATTCTTCATTCCTCCAGTGGGATTAAAAAAAATGACTTTTCTGAGACAACTCTGTTACTGATTCATGCAAGTCTAAGGTGAGTTCATTTCTTAACCCTGAGATTATTTTTTTTTAAATTCCAAGTCCATCAGCTTACTGTAAAAAACTACCAGTAAAAGAGATATCCTTAGAACCTTTGTAGGATGAGAGGAAAAAAATGGTAAAAGATGGATTGTGAAACCCAAGTCTTTTACAAGTGAGTCTTTCCCTAGTTTATTTCATGATGACTTTTATTAACTCAAAAACACCAACAAAATCTTGAGAGATCAGACATAACCTATAATTGGATTTCAAGCAATTCAAAGGTGGGTGAAGTTACACACTGCAGTCTTCTAAAATTACATCACAATATGGTATCTTTTAGTCAATGTGACAAACTTGCACAATTGTGAAGGATAGACCAATTCTAAAGAGTTAACCTTTCAAATGCTTTGTTCAGTCTCCAACACACACACACACACACACACGCACACTCACATCCACACCTTCCCTCCTCCCCCCCTCAAAAATCCCATTATATTTGCATGGTTCAGTAGAGGACCATTCCTTGATCTCAAGATCACTCATGCTAATGATCCTAATGAACTGAATATGCATCTGCACTTTGAAAAAACGTTTTAAAGAAGGACGTTATCACAAGGGAGAACCACAAGCTTCCTTCTGTTTTAAAAAAAAAAGTAGTCCCACTATTCTCTATCACAAAGCAGATTAAAGAACAGTTATCTTAGATTAAAACATGAAATCAACTTACGAAGTATTTGATGTACCATTGTCCGGACTCTTTGGCTCAGCATCACCTTTCTCTTAAGAAAAGAAGCAGGGGAAAAATACAAAGAATACATGAGTATAACAGTCTTCAAGATTTGAGAGAGATAAAACACATTCTCATGCTCATATTAACAATATTGCAAAATGTGCAGCAGGAGGCTTTTTAAACATCTTTTACAGTCTGAGTGCCGGATTTGCAAAATAATTTCTTCTATGCTATCCAATTGCCCAAGCAATGATTTATAAGTAGGTACTAAAGTGCTATTTACAAACAACTAGGGGACTCAATGCAGGACACAGTGCCAAAGCATGCTTATCTTTCAGAGAGAATCTTCCACTTCATTTTACTGTAAATCTAAGGAACTAAATTGTATTAATATTCAACCACCAACACACCTTTTGCTTTGATCCCATTTGTAAGTACAACCTAAACTGGGTCAAGTTAGATCATTACCTAGCTTGGAGAAGTGAAGGGAACATTGAGGTCTTGCCACATGTCATACCTCCCCTATGTAGCAATTTCCCATCCAGGGCCCTGTCAAAATGTTTTTGGGAGTCCTATGTACATGGAGAACGAGATGGAAACCAGAAAGCCTTTCTGACCATCTGAGAGGTTCATTAAAGAAATGTTTCTGTGGTCTGTAGTCATTAAAGATTTGGCTTGGTTTGGTTTATGGAAGTAGAGGGTTTTAACCATGGGGCTTATATCCATTTCACTTTGGATAGTTTAAAGGCAAATTCCTTTTGTGATAGGCATAATATAATTTTTAGCTACTTAACACCAAATGTTTGCAGTATGCTCCTGAAAACTGTTATATGGTTTCTCCCTAAGAGATAGATCACTTGAGAGGTGAGTATTGTGATTATGTACCTCCTTGGCTGTCTGCTAGGTACATTTGTTCAAGGTTGCCAGTTGCTTTGAGATAGAAAATGAAAAATCTTTATATAGCCCTTTGTTATAAATGAATAAATCGGGCTTTTGGTTTAGCTATTTCTATATATTTAGGGTAAAATAAGGATGCCTACAACTTGAGAAAAATTTGTTGTACACAACTTAATCCCAAGGAATTAAAAGAACATTTCCAAAGTTCTACCATAATTTGCACCAAACATTTAATCAAGGTTACAAATATATCAAAACCATTATTAACTGGATACCTACTAAGCAGAACTGTCTGCTAAATGGAGACTTTTTTTGGGTAGTACTCAACTTTCATAAGAAAAAGGCAAATTAAACAAGTTATTATCAGAATTTAGTAAAACCAAACCAAACCAAAATATTCAACCCCAATTTCAGGATACGTGCTGAGCTCAGCACTCATTCAGCTTGATCTCTGTCACTTTCTATGGTTGCATCTACAGAAATGTACAGTGAAAATTGATCTTTATAGTGATGACCAAGAGGCAATAAAAAGAACTAATATAATTAGAAAGGGCTAAAGTAAAAAGGGTTTCTGATTAATTGCAGATAAATCAGAATTCTCAATTAAACAGAATGCCTTATATTCCATGAGTATTTTGGTCAGCTTAAAAATTTTTTCTTTTTGCATTATTACCCTCACTTTATAGATGGGAAAACTATGGAACACAGATAAGTCTGGTTCATTTTTGCTTAAAGCTTTATAATGAAGTAGCAGAGAAGCTGCTTCTGGACCTTCATTCTTCTGATACCAAGTGCCTTGTTATATTCCAAGGGCTAGGAGTTCCCAGTTGTGTGTGTGTGTGTGTGTGTGTGCTACTTATTTCTTGAAGCCTTGGGGTACAATTGTGGGGTACAATGCAGAGAAAGAAGTGACAGGCAAGAGGAAGTGGGGTGTGATGGACAAGGGAGGCCATTCCACTAACTGCATTCTATTTCTCACTGGCAAGCCTGAAAAATCATAGGAAAAAATGTGTGGCGGAGAAGGAGTATAATGGTGGCAAATATCTTGAAAATCTATCCCTTAAGGTTTAAGATCTACTGGCAGGTCCTAATCTATTGTTTGGGGGAGGGGGAGGGAAAAAGCCCTGGTCAGTACCATTCCAAATATATTGTCATTTACTAGCCTTTATCAGCTCCCTTCCAAGAATGGAAGCAACCTTAGGAGGGATTGATTAGGTAAGCAGTTTCCATTGCACGTGGGTGGTGCTGGCAGTGCCCTAAGCAATGCAGTGATGGAAGCATAACTATACAAAGGGGCCAGAGCCGGACACATAATGCTGGTTTTCCTTCCTAGGAGAAAGGATTCTCAGCAAGCAAAAGAAGATTTCTCCTATTCCCTCTCCCTGACTGCTGCAGCCATGTTGTTTCCTGGACACAGTGATCCCTCTTGTTTTTCTCACTCTTTGTCACTCTTCAGAATCCACAGTGTTATAATGGCCAATTTAAAGATCAACAGTAGGGATGTTAATTGTTCGCCATCGCTTAAATGTGCTGATTGTCTACGGCCTGGGCCACAAATTTAGTAAATACACATCCTCCCTTTCTAGGTCCTTGATTTAGATGTTTCTTTACTGGGCTCACACACACTTACACTATGTCAACATTAGTAGTTGGTGGTCTGAATTCTAAAGGTTAATCATGATTATAGGATTCAACAACTAAATTATGGGATAAAATACTGTAATACATTTGCTGTATTATCCTCCCCCCCAACCTGTTATGAAGTTAAAGTTCAGTGATGGAGGGCTAATTTATGGAGCTACCTTGTTAGTTCAGAACTTGGTCCCACAAAACTTTGCCTTTCCCTTTCTTTCTCTGGCAGCAAAAAAAAAAATAGTTATAACAAGCATAATTTCTAAATCTATCTCAGAAATCAGCTTCCTGTAGTTGGTCTGAGTCTACAAAATGCCTCTTCCTCTCCTAATTCTCTATGAACCCCTCCCCCAAAACCCACCAAGAAATTACATCATAGCATTATAGATTGCAGTATCATAGATTTAGGGCTGGCAATTTCCTTAGAGGTCACTGAATCCAACCCTCTCATTTTATACAAAAAGACAGCTGAGGCCCAGAGGGGTTAGCTGACTTGCCCAAAGTCACAAAATTATTAAAAGTAGTGAACTCAGACTTCAGATCCAGTGTCTTTTTTTTCAATTAGTTTGTTTTTTACTATATAAGCCTGGTAATGAAAGAAAAAAAAATCAGACAAAGTCAGTTGTTTGAATTTCCCTGGTGACCACATGTGAGTAGTCCTAGAGTCCTCACCCAGGCAGGAGCAGTAGCAGCAGTAACAAATTAGTAAATTTGTTTTTGAGCTCACACTTTGATTGGAAGTTTTGTTCCCTGGTTTAGGTTTGTGATGCAGTTATTTAGTTTAGGGAGGACTTGCAGAGGTCCAGTTAATTAACTCCAGGTCAGGAAAAACAAACCAATCCCAGGCACACTAATACGGTTGTCACCACCAGCCACCACAACCCCTGCTCATGTTCCTTGTACAGGTAGCTACAATTACTTTAAGTAAAGCATAACTGATCTGAAGTATAATTTTCTCTCAAAGCAGAATCTTCCCCCACCACTCCTCTCCCTTCACTTTTAGGAAGCTGGTTAATTTCTCTCCCCCCCCTACCCTTTATGACTCGTCACCAAGTACACCTCACACAGGCAATTAAATGCAACCCACAACAAACAGACCTGGGAATGGAAGGCAGTATCAAACATTTCAAAACACCTTGTGTCAGAAAACAAGAACTCAATAACAAAAGCTAGTACAATGTTTCTGTTGCTTTAATAAATATATTTTACCTCAAGCAATAAGGCTGCTAAAGAACCCACAGGTGGAGGGATCCCTGATCTGATTACATGTGGGATCTGGGGTCTGAGTGGCTGGCTGGCTTCAGTCAAATCAGGGACAAGCTGCAACTGATTATCAATTCTCTTAGCAGCGCTCACTGTTGTAGCAACAGAGACAACAGAAAAGGTTTTGGCAGAGGGGAGGGATACAACCAAGCCACACAAGACATTTATGAAAAACTGGAGAGTAAGGGCCTTTAGCAGCTTCAATATTGGGAATGAATGAACCTTTCTAGGGAAATTAAGTGCAGGATGATGGACAGAGATGATGGCTGTTCACATCCTTTAAGGGAGCAGAGAACACAAAATACTCCCATATCTTAAAACTATAAATGATGCAATTTTTGGAGTTAATTTCACGAGTTTAAAAATGTGAGCTTTTAAGTATCAAGTCTTCTTTATCAATCTTCAAGTTGGTGGGGTTGGGGGAGTGGGATGGAATGGAGTGGTGGAAAGTAATAGGCGCTAGAGTTTTCTGAGTTGGGAATTTTCAACCCAGTAAATGGGCTCTCTATCAAAAGCCACCAAGCTGGATTGTTTCATAGCAGACCTGGCCATGTGACTGGACACCATATGGTCATAGGATTGACAACAAACACTGTCACTGACTCTATTTCATGGTAACTTGTGTGCCCATCATTAAAAATTCTGAAATTATAGTTTTAAATATTTATATTCTACTACAAGGAGGAATGGTTAAAAACAAATTGGACAGAATTGGGATCAAATGTTTTCCAGATTCATAGCTCCATCTTTGTATCTCCAGTATTGACTTTATCTGTGGTAGGTACTCAATAAATATTTGCCATTTCTGATGTCTATGCCTTATTACTAGGGAACTCAATGTTATAGGATCATAATGCTGTGGATAGGACAAGCAAAGGAGATTCTCCATTGGAAATAAAGCAGTTAATTATATGAGATGGAGATAGAAATGGTCATAGAGAATAGCCTACTGGCCAGCCCAACTGTCTTGACCTCAGTCTTGCTATTGAACTGTGATGACTCTGGGGGAAGGAATGAGGCTGATGACTTTGCATAGCTCTGCCTCATTTAAATCCAATTCACCTGCAAGTCAAGTAAGTTATCACCCTTGTGATTTCATCGATCTCATTGAGACTGAAGGATGAACAACAACAACAATAATGGCTGACCATTTAGTTAACTTAAAGTAGAGTTTTAGTTCTTTCCTGTGTGACTCTGCCACATTAATATTAATCTAGTTCAAATAGTTTACTAAATTTTACTTTTCTGGCACTGCTATCGGACCTGGCATTCATGATCATTATCACACATAATACACTGATGTTGTTGAAAGGGCTCCAAGATAGATTTACTGTTTACTGAATTCTGCTCTATTAGTGAACAGTATAAGAAACAAAGTTTTACTATGTTATATGATGATTTCTTTATATAGAGGTTCACTAACTATTTTAATATTTAAATTTCTTGAATGCTTTACCAAATAACAGGCCAACCTTTTTCTTAAATTTTCACCTTGACTTATTAAATCAAATTTAGTTCTATGATAAATAATTCACCACACTGACAAATGTCAATTGTCCTTCCCTAACACCTCTCACATCTATCCCATTCTCTCCACTTACACAGCTCAGGCCTTCATCATCTCTCAACTGTATTATTGCAATAGCCTCTTACTTAATGACTCTGTTCTCCTCCATCTCCAACCCATCAGCAACATGGCTGCAAAACTGATATTCCCAATGGCCAGGGCTAGGCATGTTACTCTCCTGCCCAAGAAACCTGAGTGGCTCTCAATTTGCTCTCAATTGTAAAGTATAAACTCCCATGTTCAGCATTTAAAGCCCTTTCCAGTTTGGTTCCAATGTATTTTTCCAGGCTGATCCCACATTACTCTACCTCACACACTTTGTTCTTATCAAACTTGCCTATTTGCTGTTTCTCTTACACAATATTATTATCTGTTGCTTCTGCAACTTTGCACGAGTCATACCCCATGCCTGAACTCAACTCGGCTCTCCTTTCTGCCTCCCAGAAATCTTTAGCTCCCTTGAAGTCTCAGATTAAGGGCTAGCTCCTCTTACAAGAATTCTTTCCTGAGTCCCCAGTTGTTACTACTCTACGCAATTTAATTTTGTGTTTATTTTGTACATCTGTTTTGTATTCATCTTTTTTGTACATCTTTGTATTCATGTTGCATTTAAAATCTTTTTGCTTTATCAAAATTGAGAATCCTAAAAATTTCATGTAGGTACCTTGTCATATAGTTTCAATGTGATCAGTGATGAGATCAATAAAATCAGATTTGTAGAAAATGGTGCAATTAATTTGTTAGAGCTATATGTGTCTATGTTAAAAAATGGTGAGAAGAATAATGGACATTGTTTAGGTACTTTGTTTCTTAGATCTGCTTGCTTAGCTTGACTGAGTACATGCCACCATGAATTCCAGGAATTTTTAGTCTCTGCTTAAAATGTCATACAATCTTTAGTTTCATATAAGGAATGTGTCTTCCTTTGCGTATCTTACAAATTGTAGCCAAGAGCATTAGTAGCATGAAATGTCACCAGAAAAAAGGTGGCAAGCTTGAAGAATCAAGATTTGTAATGCACTATTTCTGGACAATGATTTAATCACATTATAGTATATTTGAGAGGCAGAGTAGAGCACTGGATAGTCAGTCAGGAAGACCTTGGCTGAATTCCTGCCCCTGACACATACTGGCTGTGTGACCCTGGGAAAGTCACTTAACTTCTAAGTACTCTAGACCCAGCGATATCAAATTCAGATACCAGTTGCCAGTGATTGGGGAAGAAACCAGATTAAAATGTAATTAGGAAATGTTAGATAATAAATAAAATATATAATACATAAATAAAATATAATACAACATAGATAATGTTAATTTGTGTTTTTTTGAAGTCAATATTCAAGAGGCAGTAGATGGCTTAGTGGATAGAGTGCTGGGCCTGGAGTCAGGAAGATCTGAGTTCAAATATGGCCTTAGAAACTCACTAGCCATGTAACTCTGAGCAAGTCACTTAACTTCTGTTTGCCTAAATCCACTGGAGAGGGAAATGACAAACCACTCTAGTATCTCTGCCAAGAAAACCCCCAAAAAGAGGTCATGAAGAGTGGGACATTGATGAACAACAACAATAAGTCAATATGGAGCCAACAGGAATTCTTTCTATTCTAGTTTGACACCACAGCTCTAGTCAACTCTTTTCAAGACCGTATGTTGCTAAGGAACTGCTGGCTTGAATTTGTAGAGGGAGGTTTCCTCACCTTAGAGTTCCTTGTACAATGAAATCACCCGTCCAATCCCTAACCCATGGTATATATTTTTTAAATGTCCTTCTTTCTCCCTCTTCTCCTTGACAACTTCAAGATGAAGGCAATTAGAGGTTTTGTGCACTTATTATTCTATTAAATCCCTCTCGTAGCATGAAATGTTTAGAATCAAATACAGGGACACCATGAACAAAACAATAGTAACTCCTTGGTAATTTCTGGTCATTGGCGTTCTGTGCTTAGCTTTTGTAAGTGTTGAAGGATCTTATAAAAATAAACGTCTTTCCTTCTAGTTTCCTCTATTCATTACCGAATTTATTATTTTCCCTCAGAATTCTAGTGCTTTGGCCTTTTACTTCTTGCTTCATACCCCGGCTCACAGTAAATCCCAGCTGATGGCAGGATAATTAAGTGACATTGCTGTATTCATTCTCACAGCATTATCTTCCCATACTGACCTTTCTCTAGCAAAATTCTGCACTGTGCATTAACAGCCTGCAGCATCCCAACACTCTCCCCCTGGATGTCTTCCCCCCATACCCAGTGGGTGAGCACTCAATTTCAAAGCCACATCTTCTGGCTCAGAGTGTTTTTCATCTTCAAACACAGCTTTGTAATTGGCAAGTGGTGCTCTCAGCTGGCTGACTGGTCATGAAACTAACAAAATACAGCCTTTGTTGGTATGCTTTAATGACATGAACTGGGTAGGTCATGCATTTTTAATACACAGGACAACATTCATACCAATCAGGGGTGCCAGGAGAGAGAATTAAAACAGCGCTTCACAGAATGATTCCGTCTTTTCTTTGACGACAAAGCCTAAATGTTTTACTAGTCACTAACTGCAATATGGCTCCTCCTCCACCCAATTGATGTCAGTGTATTTTTGGAAGACTGTATGGTACATGCCCAGCAAGGTGCTGCTTTTCTTTAAAGTAGCCTCTTGGGAGTTTTATGGCAATTTAGCTTGGGGCCCCTTGATTGGCTTTCTTTCCCCACCCACTTCCTTTTAATTTAGGAAACCAATTATTTACCCTTTAAAATTTGTTGTCTTCCCACATATACTAGAGATCAACTTTAATGAAGCAAGCTGTTCTTTCCAACTTCAGAGAAACAGCATTATGAAAAATAGCATTTATATACCCTAGCCTTCCTTCCTCTGGACAAAGGTAAAAAAGAGTTTCAAGGTCATTCCTAAGTCTGATTCTCTACTTGAGCAAAACAACACTGGACACTAAGTCTTGGGTTCAAGAACCAAGGCTCAAGAGCCAATATTGTTTAGTCTTGTTCTCTTTCTTAATTTTGTTTTTTCTTTCATCTACTTCTTAGGTTTCTTCTTTGTTGTGTATATAATCAGGAACTCTCCTATTTCCCAATAGGTCATGCTCCAGCTTCCCCCCGCCATGACTACTGAACCTCCCCATTTCTTCCACTTCCCCCAATTCATCTGTAATGAAAGACTGTTCTTACTTGGATTGTTGTGTCCAGTGGATACATGCTGAGAATCCTAAAATGACAAAAAAAGGGAAAAATTAATTTGTTGTAAAAAGCAAACTCAGTCTGAACAAGAGATATAAGTGTATCATTGGGAAGCTAATTGTTTACTGCAAACTACTGCAGTAAAGTTTTATATGAAAGTGCCTGGTATGCAGGTACTCTAGAAAAACATTTTGTACCACTTCTTTCTACTATTGATGGTCACTTTCTCCCTTCCAACTTCCTTAACTTGCACCTTGCCTTCCTTCAGAATGTACAAATGGTTCATGATATCATATAGAGGGAGCTGGAAGGGAACTCAGAGGCCATCTCATCTAACTCCCTCATTTTATAGTTAAGGAAACAAAGAATTATGGAGATTAAATGACTTGTCCAAGGTCACACACAGTAGGCTCCTGAGGTGGGATTTAACCTATGTCTTTTAATTCCAGAGACAGTGCACCATGCTGCCTCCACCTCATTTTTGAAGATGAGGCAGGAAGGCTACCAATTCTGGTGTCTTCATGTTTGAGACAGTGAATATCCTCTTCTGTAAGATTTCTGATACATAGAAAAGGAATCTGCTTTTCCCTCATATCTAGAGACTGAATTTGCATTAAAAGTAAATTATACTTCTGATCTTGTTTGACTTGAGAATTCCCTTCTCTCTTGCTCATGAAGATGTACACTTAATCTAACACATCAGGGAAAATGAGAATAGGAATAAGTAATGACAGGTATGAAAAAGACACTGAAAACAGAACCAGTATTAAAAATATGGTAGATTAACTATTTTAGACTGGTTTTATAGAACAGGATTAATATCCACTTTATAGGCTGTGTTATTTGAAATTTTTACTACCCTTCCTCTAGATTAGGGGGATGTGATTTGACTTACGTTAGGTCCAAATAAGTGGGGGAGATGGGACCAAAATCTACATAAATTGACATTTTAAGAATCTATGATACCAGAAGTTGGAAAATAAACCTTTTAGACTGCTTTGTTTTACAACCAGTACAGAATGACATACCTGGATGTTTAATAAACAAATACTACATGTAATGATGGGTGATGAGAGGTAGTATGGTATAGTGGAAAGAGCATTGTTTTTGAGTCAAAGGATCTAGACCTGGAGCTTAGTTCTGTTACTTACTATGTGTGTGACCTTGGGCCAGTCATTTAACATTACACTGAGCCTTAGTTTCTTCACCTACAAAATAAGGGAGTAGAACTGGATGGTTAAGGTGCCTTTCAGCTCTAAATTCTATGATACTAGGATAGCTGTTCATTAGTTAAAGAGAAACCACAGACTCTATCATGATCCTGAAACTAAATGCTAAGTAATGCTAACTTTATAAGATAGAACACAAAAATAAAAAGTCCCCCTACCCCACCCCAATGAAATGTTGCAGTAGAAGACTATGAGAAACAAGGAACACATTTCTGACAAAGAAATGTTCCCAAGTAGATTATCCAGACATAAGTGTCCCGGGGGCAGCTAGGTGGCATGGTGGATAGAGCACCGGCCCTGAAGTCAGGAGGACCTGAGTTCAAATCTGGCCTCAGACCAAGCACTTGACACTTGCTAGCTGTAGCTGTGTGACCTTGGGCAAGTCACTTAACCCCAACTGCCTAAAAACAAACAAACAAAAAATAGAAGTAAGTGTCCCAAGAGGATTAGTTTCCATCTTTTGCATCCTAAATAATTCAGAGCTTTTGTATCTGAATATGAGCTGTTTTAAGTTTTTGAATATGAAAAACAAATTTGATGTTATTTATGTGAAAAATGATTATTAATAACCAATATCTTGGAGATTCAGAGCTTCCTTCAGCCCACTTTTCCCAAAGTTCTTACTTTAAGTTCAGTTTTTCTTCAGAAGGACATTACTGATAATGAGCTTGCTTTGACTCTCCTTATCCTGGTCAGCCCCCCCCCCCCCACCTCCTGCCCCAAGCTTGCAAGCAGTTTAATCTAAGGTAGGAAAACCCATTGTGTTCTGCTTAGGCTTGGATGGAGACAGATTCTTTTGTCTTGATATCCCAAATGAGGGGGTGATGGTCTGATAAAAGAGGTATTTCCTCTGTCCAGGGGTGAAATGATGATGGAGTGATATCAGCCTCTGTTGAAAGGTTATATAAACTGCGCATCCTAACCCCGAAGTGAGCATCAAATTGCAGATCCCATGCATGGACACATGCATGCTGCCTGCTTTGAGAGAAATATGGATACCACCTAATTCCATTTGTTTTTCTTAGTTGGAATTCCCTAGGTTGACATTTATTTATTTATTTGTTTGTTTGTGGGTTTGTTTTATTTTTTTGTGTAGGTTGACATTTATTTATTTATTTTTGTTTGTTTTTTATTTTATTTTTTTTTGTAGGTTGACATTTAAACACCCCATTCATCTACCAGAGTGATCCTTTGATGTTTCACTAGAGTGTACTCAAAGGCTATGCTAGCTGAAAACAAGCTTGGACAAGTTCTGTGGAGCTAGAAAGGCTCTGTATCTGGTTCTGGTGATGGGCTACATGACTGTCATCAAAGGCCAACTAGCTAAGTCTAGAGAGGCTTGTCACTGGTTTGTCTGAAGGGTGATAAACATTTTGATGACCACAGCTCTCCAAGACAATCTACTACATCACAGAGAAGTTCTGACATACATTTGCCCGCTGAGAACGTACTTGCTGACCAAATAGCCAATCTCAAAAGTGTGTCTTAATTGGTTGTTTAGAGAATCTCATCCTTTGGCTGTGCCCTGAATAAAAGCTAAATCAAAAATGGCAGAGATGATGATGTAGGACAAGTCTTTTAGTTGAGCCCTTTTCCTTCATGAAAATTCACTGTAATTGTTATTAAAACTGTGCAGTAGGTATTACAGGGAATGAATTCTTTTGATTCCATCTCAGTGGGGAGGAAAACACACAGAAAATGGCAGCAGAGACTTAAGATAATATCCTGGCTCAGCAACATAATTCTTATACTACCTCAGACCTCAAATTGAAGGGTTTGGATTGGGGTCTCTCTAAGCTCTTCTCTAGCCCCCAAATCCTATGACTGTACCTTAGCCATCTTGAATCACAGAGAGTGACCAATAACCATAGATTATTAGAAGACTAAATTGTAAGCTAACAATCCAATACTCTGACCCAAGCAAAAACAAAGAGATTTCACGTGAGGTGATAACTGCATACTAAATAGCAAAAACTTTACATGTATAAAACAACAAATTTCCATTAAAACATCTGTGAAATGAGGGGAATATTGTCAATTACTCAACAAACATTTGTAAAGCTAGTTGGCCTTTGATGACAGGCATGTAAAGCAACATTCTAAGTACTATGCCAAGTGTTCAGGGTACCAAGCCAAACACCCCCTTCCCCCAAATCTCTGTTCTCAAGGAGCTTCCATTCAATTATCATTTTTATTTCACATGAGGAGAAAATGGAGGCAAAGAATGGTTAGGTAAATTGTAGCCAAAATCACTCGGGAAGTTTGAGGGAATAGAGATGAGAATTGAACCAAGAATCCTTGGCCAACATTCACTATTCCATAGTACTATATTGCTTTTTTACCTGATGCATAATTTGCAGTATAGATTGAAAATCACAGTATTTCCCCTACTTCAGAAAAGATTTGAGGCTCAGGATAAGACACGTAAGGACAAAACAGAATACAGTTCATAGGAGGAGAGAAGGAGTAGAAAATCTCAAGCATCAGAGTTGAGGAGATGAAAAATAGATCACGTATTTGGTATTAATTTTAATGACAACTAAGACAAAAAAGTAGCTAGGTTAGATTATCTACACATAGTTTTCTGACAATGCAAAATACACAAATTTGTCTGAGGAGATACATTTTTACCTGGTCTCTGGATACTATGGACACTAGATTTAAAGAATCATAGTTTTGATTCAAGATATAGCAATTGTTTAAACAGATGGCTCTCATATGGACTGTCTAAAAGGTTAGAAGGCATAACATTAAATCTATTTTTTTTCCTTTTCAAAAGCATTTTTGTGAGGGATTGAGTTAATATGGCCACGGTTCTGTGCTTTCTGCTGATTGGTTATATTTGTTTTAATATTTTTACCATGTTTTTAGTTATACTCAGTAACATTGTTATGAAATATCCACCAGGAAAATAATTTTATAAGGGGAAGAAATATAGAGAACAAGAGAAAGAGAAAATATAAATTCAATCACATTTTGAAAGGCTTCACAAGGGCATTCCCTTTGTGCTGAATTTCACTGTCATAACTCAATCATTCAGTGTATTAAAAAGAACTTTGTATATTGCAGCAGGTACTGTGTTAGGCACTAGAAATACAATGACAATAATGCCCTTACCCTCTGCTCAAGTCCTAGTCCAACAACTCACTCCAATATGGAGATGATCTTGAGTTACTGAAGACTATAATAACTTGGGCAGATCTTATCAAAGACTCTGAGTATAGACCTGATGACAGATTCTCTTTGTTACTCAAAGACCAATCACCAGAATTCTAGCTAACAGGTGATTTTTTTTTTAAATCATAAAATTTCCATAGTTGTGAAAGGCTTGTAATTTGTGTCTTGGAGGGTTATGGTTATGATGATAATAACTATCATTTATAATAGCACTTTGAGATTTACAAAATAATTTTACATATATATGTATTTTACATTCACACTTATTTGTGTCTAATGGTAGCCATATCTGGGGGGAAGGAAGAAAAAAGGGGAAAAAAAGAAATTTATATGATAACTATATTCTATATTTAAAAGGAATAGCAAGTTGTACATAATAGATTTGCAGTTTCGTGTACAAACATCTTTTTTTAATTTTACTATGTTATGGAAATGCCTGTTTTATTTCATGAATTAAAAATAAAATAAACAAAGCTTTTAAAAAGGTTTGCAAAATATTTTACATATAGTATCTTATTTGATGAAACCATGGACCATAGGATCATGGATCTAGAGCTTAAAAGAACATCAGCTAGTCTAATCACTTCATTTTACAGATGAGGAAACTGAGGTTAAAAGGTTA